CGAGACATCAACGAAATGGTTGTAGGAAACACTCAATGAGAAGTATTTGACGAAAAGCATTGAGAATCAGCTTCATTTAAAAAAGAGGTTTTATCAATTCAAAATGAAGAGGGGAGTTTCCATTAGAGAACATGTTAATAACTTCACAAAATTACTATCGGATATGGCCAATGTGGATATCATGGTAGAGGATGAAGATAAGGTGATGTTGTTGCTATGTTCATTACCAGATGTTGATTTTGGTACCTTTGTCCTTACGATGAGTAATGGTAGAACCACTGTCAGCTATAAGGAGGTGACCTCAATATTAGTAAACTATGAGTTGAGGAAGAGTGATAGTGAACCTTCCGAGAAGGCATCGGGAGATGCATTGGCAATGAGAGGTCGTAGTCCAAACCGCCATCCATTTAATCGCTCTAAGTCGAAGCAAGGAGGTGGCTATAAGAGTGTTGGCAGAAATCAATATCGTTTTTGTAAAGAGGATGGACATTAGAAGAATGAATGCCTAAAGTTGAGAGATAGAGTCGGGAAGAATAAAGGGAAAACCATACAAGCTTCAGAGGCGAATGTTGCTAAGGCTAGCGGCGACAATTCACATTTAGATTTTCAGGCTACTCATGCCCAGCATTACCGTCAGTTTGTTATGCTGACTCTACGGAATGGATGTTGGATTCAGGTGCTACATATCATATTTACCCTAGGAGTGATTGGTTTTCTAGCTTTGAGGAGCTAGAAATAGGGGATGTCGTGCTTATGGAAAATGACCACGTATGTCCTATCGGTGGTATTGGTACAGTTCGGATCAGGATGTGTGACGGGATGACTAGGGAGTTGAAGGAAATAAGATTCGTTCCTCAATTGACGAAGAATATCCATTCACTTGGAACTTTGGAGGCAGCTGGCTATAAGGTGATCTTAGAGGATGTAACTCTGAAGGTCACAAAGGGGTCCATGGTGGTAATGAGAGGTGTCAGGGAAAACAACCTTTACTTTTTGAAGGGCAAGATAGTAACAGGGGGTCTGACAGCTTCGATTACCACATATGAGGATACTACCAGCTTATGACACATGAGATTAGGACACACTAGTGATAAGTCCCTACAAGTATTGGTGAAACATGGGCTATTGAAGGGTGCAAAGACCTGCAAGATGGAGCTGTGTGAACATTACATACTTGAGAAGAAGACAAAAGTGAAATTTGGCACCGTAATTTACAACATCCAATGTATATTAGATTATGTTCATACCGATGTTTGAGGTCCTTCCAAGAACACATCTCTTGGTGGAACCAATTATTTTTTCACTTTTATTGATGATTATTCCAGGAGGAATTGGGTATACCCCATGAAGCATAAACATGAGGTTCTGGATATATTTGTGGAGTAGAAGAAGAAAGTGGAGCTGCAAACAGGTAGAAAGGTGAAGGTATTCCGTTCAGATAATGATGGTGAGTACAAGAGTGATCCGTTTCTGTAGTTTTGTTGGGATCACGATATTAGGCGATACTTCACAGTTAGGGAGACACCGTAATAAAACAGGATGGCCGAGAGATTGAATCGTATCTTGCTGGAGAAGGTGCGTTGTATGCTCTCACAGAGTGGATTGGCTAGATCCTTTTGGGCCGAAGCGTTGGTTTATGCAAGTCATCTCGTGAATAGGTTGTCGTGCACTGCGATCCATGGAAAGACTCATATGAAAAAATGGTCTGGTTCAGCGGCTAGTGATTATGAGTTACTCCGGATATTCGGGTGTCTAGTTTGCTATCATGTGAATGATGGGAAATTGAATTCGAGAGCTAGAAAAGCAGTCTTCGTAGGCTTTAGAGATGGAGTTAAAGGCTTTAAGTTATGGGATCCACAAGACAAGAGGATGATCATTAGCAGAGATGTCACGTTTAATGAGGCTCACATGATGAGGTCTCAGATTCCTCAGCAGGTGGAGGAAGGCCAGACTAGTGGGGTATCACAGCTGGTGGAGGATGATGTGACTTCACAAACTTCAGATAGCACTGTATCTATTGAGACTCCTACAGAAGTGACACTGGGAGGAGATGATATGATAGATGGGCAGGTGGAGGATACAGTGAATGTTAGGACTCAGGAACAAGGTCATGTTCAGGAGTCCATTGCAACTAATAGATCAAGAAGAAATATTCGTCGGTCAACTAGATATGATGATGTGATGGTTGCATATGCTTTATCAGCTGAGGTCGTTGATGATTTGGTTCCTTCTACATATAAGGAAGCAGAGTCAAGCCCTGACTCAATCAGGTGGAGGGAAGCTATGGAGGAAGAGATGCAATCTCTTCATAAGAACGACACTTGGGAACTTGCAAAGCTACCGAATGGTAAGAAGGCTATTGGATGTAAGCGGGTGTATGCAAAGAAAGAGGGATCTTCTGATGGGGACATTCGGTTCAAAACCAGATTGGTTGCCAAGGGATATGCACAGCTAGAGGGTGTTGATTACAACGAGGTATTTTTACGTGGTATGAAGCATTCGTCGATTCGTATTTTTATTAGCATTAGTAGCACAGCTAGATTTGGATTTAGCCCAGATGGATGTTAAGACAGCCTTTCTACATGAAGATTTAGAAAAGGAGATATACATGATACAACCTATGGGGTTCAAAGCTGCAGGAAAGGAAGAATTGGTATGCAAGCTGAAGAAGTCTCTTTACGGATTGAAGCAATCACCACGACAATGGTACAAGAGATTCCACGGCTTCATGATTGGCTGAGGGTACATGAAAAGCCCATATGACCCGTGTGTTTACATGCACAAGTTACAGAATGGTGAGTATATTTATTTGCTATTATATGTTGACAATATGCTCATAGCTTCTAGGAATTCTTCAGCTATTAGGAAGTTGAAAAAGGAGCTATCATCTGAATTTGAGATGAAAGATCTTGGAAAAGTAAAGAAGATATTGGGCATGGAGATTGAGAGAGACATGGTGAAGGGGAGGTTGAAGTTGACACATAGGAGTTACTTGCAGAAGATGTTGAATAAATTCAGTTATGATGGCAATGCCAAGACGGTGAGTACTCCATTAGCTCCTCACTTTAAGCTATCAGCTAAGATGTCACCTATTTTAGTTGAGGACCGTGAATACATATCCAAAGTTCCATATGCCAATGTTGTAGGTAGCTTGATGTATGCGATGGTGTGTACAAGGCCAGATTTGTCACAGGTCATGAGCATGGTATCAAGGTACATGCACGACCTCGGGAAGGATCATTGGGAGATCGTGAAGTGGATTCTACGGTATATCAAATGTACCATGGATGTTGGTTTGGTATTCGAGAAGAATGGGAAGAATGGGAAGGATTATATTAGTTATGTGGATTCTGATTATGTGGGGGATCTTGACAAGTGCTGGTCTACTACAGGATATGTATTTACATTGGCAGGAGCACCGGTGTGTTGGAGATGCACACTGCAGTTTATAGTGACTTTCTCCACTACGGAGGCAGAGTATATGGCGTTGACTGAAGTTGTAAAGGAAGCTTTGTGGTTTCAAGGGTTATTGGATGACTTGGGAATTGCATAGGATACCATCAGGGTAAATTGTGATAGCATGTCAGCTATCTATTTGACCAAGAACCAGGTGTATCATGCCTGCACAAAGCACATTAATGTCAGATTCTATTTTGTTCGAGACGTATTGGATGATGGAGATGTCAGATTGGAGACGATCCACACAAAGGACAATCCGACAGATATGTTGACCAAAGTTATCACTGGAGTAAAATTTGATCATTGTTTGGAATTGTTAAACATTCTTCGTTGTTGAGGGCCTTTGGAGGCCATTAGGGGAACTACGTGAATACTTGATTCCTTGGGCAAGAGGATACGTAGGCAGTCATTTATGATGCAGCCGATTTGGTAAATAGACATCGATGTTTGGAGAATGATCTCATTCTCATTTGGTTCTTGACTTATTATGGATTGAGTCCGTTATCGTGAATTGTTTTACTTCGTACTGGACGCAAGAAGTGGGACATTTGGTTTGTTTGGTGTCGGCTTAGTTTTGAGAAAACTTCACCGATGTGAAGATTTGTAGAAGAACTCACCTGAACAAGGGGGTGAAGTGGTTTATGCGAGGTTGAACAGGCGACGAGGGTTTGAAGGGGAGGATGGAAGTCGTCTATTCGAGATTGCAGGCGAGGTGTGAGGCGAGATCGAGCTTGGGAGGCGAGGTCGAACTCGCCTGTAGGCTGGAAAGGCGAAGGCGAAGGCGAAGGCGAAGGCGAGTAGGTGCAAGGTTGAACTCGCCTGTAGGCGAGGGAGTCGCCTGATGACTCGCCTGTCGTGTGCGCAGGGCTCGAGGTGATCACAAGAGTTCGCCTGTCGCATGGTTAGATCCAGCTAGATCCCACCTGATTGAAGAGAGCTCGCCCTAGGGTTTCCCTATAAAAGGGAAACCCTGTTCACAGAGCGGGATTGGAGCGCGATTTGGAGCAGAGAATAAATCTCTGGCGGCGGCCCTCTCTGTGCTTCCGTTCTCTCTGCATTTGATTCCCTTTCTTTGTCCCGTACTCATAAATTAAGAAGGGTTTGTGAATATTAATTGGGGTATTGTGTATTTAAGAGAGAGTGTTTTGAGCATTGCTTTTAGATTAAAATCAATTGCTATTTGTTTGAGAGATCTCAAGTTTGAGATCCTCTCTCTTATTTGTAATTTATTGTTATTAATTAGAAATTATTGTGCCGCTCTCGTGGACGTATGCAGATTTGTCGAACCACGAAAAAAAATCTGATGTCTTGCATTTCTGATACTTGTTTTGGTTGTTGATTAGTGTTTCAATCTTGTTTATAATTGTGTGCCTTCGGTTCTGCTGCTCACAACAAATAGAACACAGTAGGATCAGGAAAATCCTTACTTAGTTTATCTAGGAAACAACATATAAGACAGATGACAAACACAAGAACATCAACTAGGAAGACATTACTGAACTCAGAATACAATAATTCAGATATACTCACAAAATGTAAGCTCAATGTATAATATTAGTAACTCGCCCTTCGTCCGTGACCCTGAAGTTGCTCAATGTCGGCCTTCTTCGTAAAGTATCCATTGTCACAATAAAACTGTTTTCCATATCATCGTAGTACTGAAAACATGCAACCCGCCAAGAGTTCTTAAAAATAAATGCTCCGCAGATAACCCACCACCCGACGGCAAATCCTATGCCCATACCGAGATACAGCTCGAACATATCTGAATCGCCGTCTTCATCTTCAGCATCTGCACCTTGAGTTGGAACCCTGGAGTGTTCATCGCCTGGGCATCTGGGTAGCGGGGATCCACAAAGATCACTGTTTCCAGCATAAATGGATGGATCTGTGAGAGTCTGAATCTGGTTGCCTGATGGAATTCTACCTGACAAGTCATTATGAGAAAGATTCAGGTAACTTAATGCGGTCAATAAAACTATGCTCCCAGGAACTTTTCCGGATAAGTGGTTCATCGACAGGTCAAGAGCTTCCAGTTGTGCCATGCCGCCAAACTTATCAGGAATATATCCCTCCAACTGGTTCTTTGATAAGTTCAAGCTCTGCAAACCGATGAGGTCCATCAGTTCTATCGGGATTTCTCCAGATAAGTTATTGCATGAAAGATCGAGGACCATAACCAGAGAGAGTGTTTTTGTGTAGTCAAGTTGTCTCCCTTTTATTTCCACCTCTATTATCTCTTCAAATTTTGAAGATGCAATTTCCACAGAAGGAGATGCACCATCTCTATAGCTGATGATACCTTCTACTGTCCTATTTACTTTGGTCATTGCACTAAAATTCTTAAATGAATTCGGTATGGTTCCTGATAGATTATTTTGCGCCAGGTCCAACATTTGAAGAGAAGTAAGATATGATAGTTGTTGTGGGATTTTGCCCGTTAACATATTTGAGCGCAAGCGAAGAAATTTCAGAGATGAAAGACCCTCTCCAATCCATGATGGTATTTTCCCAGTTAACTTGTTTTCTCCAAGATCAAGTATAGTCATACGGTTACAATATCTCAAGAAAGAAGGGATTTCACCATCGAAACTGTTATTGTTCAGACGTAATTCTGTCAAATGGGATTCAGCTGTCAATTGAGGAACTGGACCCGCCATCCACGGAGGAATTGAACCATGGAGGTAATTGTTTGCCAAATTTATAACATAAGGTGACGGTGGCGAATCTTTGTTGGACTGACATTCCGGAATATTTCCTGATATGTTGTTGCTAGAGAGGTCGAGGAGTTGCATGGATGAAAAGTTGCATATAGCTGAGGGAATTTCACCGGACAGAAGGTTTTGTGAAATTGTAACATCCCTCAAATTCAGCATTTCTGCATTTAAGATTGGTTGAGTATCTCCTGAAAATAAGTTGTCATCCAGAAAAATATTCTTTACATTAGAGTTCAGTGAAGGCAGTTTTCCTTGAAACAGATTGACGCATATGTCGATGGTCGTGGCTCTAAGAAATTTCACCGACGTATGAATATCACCACTTATCTTGTTATATGATAAATTCAAGTAATCAACTGCATAAGATGCATCCCAAAACCAACTGGGGATCTTATCGATAATAAATGCATCGGATATGTCCAAATACTGAAATCCTCTTTGTGTCCGAAGCCATATAGGAAACCGAGGACCCATTCTGCAAGATCTCAAATCTATAGTGTTTAGCTTGAAAGGAGGCACCCAAGCGGAGCTCATGTTAAAAATCAACCCGTTACCAGAAAGCGACAATTTCTTCAGTTTTGTCATATTGGCAAGCTGAGTATCTGAAATAACGCCATCCAACGTGTTATAAGAAAGATCGAGTGTGCTCAGGTGTTGCATTTGCCAAACCCAATCAGGTAAGCTCCCATTTAGTTGGTTAAACGACAAATCCAATTCCTCCAAAGTAAATCTCTTGCATCTTGTTTCACCTTCTAGCATACGAGACATGTCCCCAGATAAATAATTGCGTGAGAGCAGTAAGCTGCGCAAATTGCAGAGGTGCTGGAGTATTCCAGGGATAGACCCACGTAAGAAATTGCCAGTGAGATCTAAGGCTTCCAGCTGAGAGAGGTTGCCGAGACTCTTTGGAAGGGACCCATTGAAATAGTTATAGGAGAGATCAAGAACTCTGAGAGAGGTCAAGTTCTTCAAGGAACGAGGAAATGGCCCGTTCATTGAGCAAGAAGAGAGATTGAGATGAACGAGACTGCTGCTAAGGCTGAGCAGAAACCTGTCAAATATAGCGCCATCCGCGAAAGAATTTCCCGAAAGATCAAGTGTCGTGATAGACGGGATATTGCCATTTGGAGAAGAAGCGGAAGCAAGAGGAGGAGAAGGCAAATTACACCGAGACAGTTTCAATACAGAGAGAGAAGGGAGATTTCTAACAAAAAGAACCCAATCAGTTGCTCGAGTTAGGTCCACACTGGACATGTCAAGATATTTCAGGTACGTGAGGTTTACAAGATCGTGTGGAATTTTACCAGAAAGACCAGTTCCCGAGAGGTCGAGGTACCTCAAGTTTGTGAAGGAACCAACAAGTTGCTGGATATCACCCGAGGAGAATGTCACGTTACTTAAGTCCAGATGCTGCAAATGTTTCAAGGTAGACAAAGAGTGATCGAAATAGTTGCTAGAGACGTAACACTGACCATCGGTTAGGCGACCAATGCTGAGTTTGATTACGTTTCCGGCCTTTTTGCTGCAACCCACTTCTCTCCATCTGCAACAGTCAGCGCCTCTCCAATTCGAAAGCAGATTACAGTCATCAGTCAGGCTTTGCTTGAAGGTAAGAAGAGCTTGCCTCTCGTTATCTTGGCAAGCCAAGCATAGGTGGCTGAAGCAGAAGACGAGGAGGAGGTTAAGGAATCTCTCCATTACGAAATAGGAAAAAAAGATATGGTTTTTCTGTAAACCTGAGGACTACTTATAAACCTGAGAACAGTCTTTGTGGACTGAGTCTTTTTTGTGGACATGCTTCTGGAAGATGCACTGCTAATTGTGGAGTCTTAAGTTGGTTGCATCTGTCAACGGGTCAATTCTATTGACAATCTTTTCCAAGAGAAAGTGGAGCTGAATGCTCTTCTTTCTTTGCTTAATTGCTTCTTTTCTTTGCTTAATTGCACATAGCCCGCCCATTTCGAACTTATTACTCCTGCAGTTTTGAACTTGTAGACCCCCTGAGCGAACTTTTTTTTAAAAAAAATTACTCTTTTAATGAAGTTGCTATCTAATTGTGGAGTCTTAAGTTGGTTGCATCTGTCAACGGGTCAATTCTATTGACAATCTTTTCCAAGAGAAAGTGGAGCTGAATGCTCTTCTTTCTTTGCTTAATTGCTTCTTTTCTTTGCTTAATTGCACATAGCCCGCCCATTTCGAACTTATTACTCCTGCAGTTTTGAACTTGTAGACCCCCTGAGCGAACTTTTTTTTAAAAAAAATTACTCTTTTAATGAAGTTGCTATTACCCTGCGTGAAAATGTTGTTTACTTTCAGGGATAAACGAGTAGAAAAATATCACTCAGGGGTTCTATCTGCCGATTTGAAACTAGAGAGGTAACGAGTTTGAAATGTCGTACTGAACATTCGTATGGACGTTCCTTAATTCACAGGCCGGTGCTAAGAAGTAGCACTTTGCAACACTTCCATAATAGGAATGTAGTGATTGGGGGTGTTTTAATTTTTGAATTTTTTGGGGTTGTTTATAGTTTTTTGAATTTTTAGAGTTTGTTTTCAATTTAAGGTTTTTTTTGGTAATTATTAGTTTTCAGAGGATATTTGTTTTTTTAAGATTTTGAGAATGTTCTTTGTAATTTTCGAGCATGTTTCCTTAAATTTATTAGGATAGAAAATTTTAAATTACGGATAATTATGGTTCAATTAGGATTAAAAATATTTGATTATTAGAATTTTTAGTTATTGGTAGTTTTACTTTCATGAAAATTCTTTAGTAAATATATCATTAGATGTATTTTTTTCAGATGGGAGGTTTTGAATAGCAAACTACCAATTTTACTTTATATGTAAAGGACAGATTATTTCTTTAAATTGGTAATAAAAAATAATTTATTATTTATTATTAATTAGAATAGTATTGGAATGTAATATACCAAATAGTCAAGGATAATATTAAGTAGAAAAAGATTTTTCTTAATTCATAATTTTGAAGGGAGTATGATCGATTTGTCTACTTAATTTTAAAGGTAATTTAGGGGGTGAGAGTATTTTATAATATCATCTAAGTATTTTTTATCTTTATTTTTAAATTTAAATATAAAGGAATGAACTATAAGATAAAAAGTTCTATTTTTTTTATTTGTTAGGTACCAAATTTAAATCTTTAGATGATCAAAATCTTAAATCTTTATATATTTTCTCTAGCAAATAAATTTTTTAAGTTCTGAGATTTCCTATTTTGTAATTTCTTGATAAATGGTTGAACGTAGAGTTTGAAAAGTTATCTATAGCTTTTATCTTATTAAAAATATTTTTATTAATTAGACATGATCATAATGAAATCATATTAAAGAATTTTTTATTAATTAGGATAATTTGACTTAAAGGATTATTTTTGGATTTTTAACAAATTATGTAAAATATAGGATTTTTCTATAAATTTTTTTATATTTTGAAGTTTTTTGGATTTTTGGCTTTTTAATATTTTTTAAACAAATTATGTAATTTTTTTTAATATTTTTAATATTTTGCGGTGGTCTTGTGGGTATACATTAAAAGATAGAATAAAAAATGAGTGAATCCGTAGTAAATTAGAGGTTGCGCTTATTAAGGATAAAATGAGAGAGAATAGATTAAGATGGTCTGGTAATGTAAAATGGAGACCCCTTAGTGCACCGATTAGAAAAGACGATAATGTTAAAGTTAAGGGGGCTAGGACTCTAAATGTAGACTAAAATGACTTAGTTAGAAGCAATTAAAAAGAATATGATTAAGATTAACTTAACGGAGGAGATGACTCATAGTAGAATGGAATGGAAAAATAAGATTCATGTAGCTGACCCTAAACATTTGGGATAAAGGCTTGGTTGTTGTTGTCGTTGTTGTTTGGATTTTGGCCCAAAATATACAATTTTTGAAAGTCTTTTAGTTATTTCTACTAATTTTGTAGATTGCTATTTTTATAAAATATTTAAATTATGTCTTTTGCATATTTTTGTGAGTTTTCAAATTTCTATGGATTTGGGATACTTTCCAGCTTGGCCACTCAGGCAAAATTGAGAATTTTCTCCTTTATTATATATGAAAACAGTTTAGGATGTGTGCAGATTACATGATATCATCTATTATCTTTATTTTTAAATTTCAATATTAGAAACAAATATAAAGAGTTCTATTTTTTTAACTTGTTAGACACCAAATTCAAATCTTTAGAGTGTCATACTTTTAAATCTTTATCTATTTTCTCTCCAACGGTTGGCACCTGTCCAATTTGATAGAAGATTCTCAGCATGCTAAGCGTAGATGGGTAAATTTGCATAGGAGAAAGGAACCAAGTATAAGGAGGAGTTTTAAGGGATCTCTCCATTTTAGATTAAGAAGAAGATAGTTCCTTCTTAAAGCTGAAGACTACAACTTATAAAAAACAACAGAAGAACCGTCTCTGTCGATTAACTCATTGGATGGACTTCTGGCAAGATGCAGTGGTCATTGTGGAGTCTATTGTTGCCAGTTTTGGAGGTCATTGAAATCGGGTGCACCTGTCACTTTTAATTCAACCTGTGGACAATTTTGCGTATGGTAGGTGTTTTTTTCGTGCGGCTGATGAATTGCCAAGGTGAAGAGTTTGATCAAGGGAGGCCAAGTTGATGTAAGAAATCCAGAACCAAGAAAACTAATTTCAGATATATATGATTTTTTTTCCCTTCTGGGGCCTTGGATTTTTTTCGCGGAGACTGCTGTTGCTGAATTACCAAGGAGAATAATTGATTAAGAGAGTCCAAGTTGATGTAAGATTAGGAAACTCTGACCATAAGTTTAGATATTATTGTTAAACTATAGCGATTGTAACTTTCGTCCTTTAATACCTTGTTTCAAGAGAATATGTACATAAATTTAGGAAATTCTGACTAGTTTATCTAGGAAACTGACACATGCAGAGCTAACATCATAGAAATGACTATATACGAATATCAAATCAGTTTCAAGAGAATATGTACATAAATTTAGGAAATTTTGACTAGTTTATCTAGGAAACTGACACATGCAGAGCTAACATCATAGAAATGACCATATACGAATATCAAATCAGGAAGACTTTATTAAACTCAGAACTACGGTACATATTCTATCAGTCCACCAAAGATATAAGCTCAACTTTTAATCACTACTACAAAGAAGGGTTGCCCAACCGGTTGAAACGATTGGGACAAAGCATGACCCCAAGGGTTACAACCGTTGGAGCAAACAAAAGGCCTGTTGGGGAAAATCGCGCAGGGGCAGTGTAGCCCTAACGGTTGCCTAAACTTGTCCTAACGGTTGTAACTGCTGAGGCAAGTAATTTTTCCTTTCTAAAAAATAAAAATAAAAAAAATTACACCCTAGTGGTTCAAACAGTTGGGACAAATATTTGCTCCAACTGTTTGAGCCGTTGGGGCATGTTTACAATTTAAATGAAAAAAAAAAATTTCAACTCCTAATGAAACCAAGTGTACATCAGCACCAAGGTTTCAATGTTATGATCCCGCTTCCGGCTACCTATTAACTCTATATATTAGACGGGAAAGAAATCAGGCATTGTGTCTTGGGTCTAAACCTATGTTAAATCCTCTAAAATCCTCACATTTTGAATTATTACAATTTCCTACCAGCATATACAAAGAACAATTCATTTCACATAGATTGAGAGCACAGTTAGCAGAACCAACAGCGGTATCAAAGCATTTACAATGGAAAATTGATGCGGATTCATTAATACTAGACATAATCATCATGCTTATTGATACCGTATATGAAACAGAACCTTTAGAACTCAACAGAAGTACATGAAGTTGAGAAGTAAGCTCCGCCTCCAGGTCCTTAACAATAAGATGTACCTGGCCCTGGCATATTTTCTCGGTATTAGTAAGTGTGTCTTTGATCTCCTTAACAATTTTGCTCAGACTTCAAACAACTTCTTTCTAATTCATGTAAAACATTATGGTTAAAGTTATTGTGGTTGACATTCTTCCCTTCATTTGGAACAACCTCTGCAGCTACACCAATAGAAAACGTTATATAAAATAGCACGCTCGAGAAGAAACTATTACTGCTTCGAGTTTTAAAACAGACTTAAACAATGCTATAAACAATGCGCTACCCTCAAATTAACTGCCTAACAGGATTGCCTGCCCTTCAAAGACTACAGATTTTCAACATAGGTGTGCCATTTGTATTTGCCGAATTCCCTTCTGATCCTGAACACCTTCAACTTTCTAAAATAACTATATATTCATCGATGTCTGAAGATAGTCACCTGCTAGTTCTATCAATGCTGTCAAACTCCCTTTGCACTGGAAACCAAAACTGCATTGATGAATTCAAAAAAACAATCACTAAACATAAAGCAACAATTAGGAACTTAGGTCAAACCTGTCAACTCCGTTTCGAGTCATTTTATGTATATTCACCACTCAAGGCCTTCAAAGAAAAAATCATTTAAACCAAATCTTTCCCAACGGCAATCTCAATTAGTTGAGCCACAAGATTCACCAAAGAAGGCCTAATAACTATCGGAGAAAGTTCAGGCCATACCTCGCTTGTCTG